ATCTGAGTCTGAATGCGAAGACCCTTCTTAACGCTCGGGAATGTGGGCCAGGCGATGCAGCGGAAGACGTAGCTGTTCTTGTTCTTGGTCCTAGAGAAGTGGACTGTATGTTTGTTTTGCAGATAATCATAGGAATGAAAGCGCTGCTTACCCAAGAGAATATTCGTGATGGTGGACACAAATCTGGAATGCAGTAATTGTCCAGTGTGTGTGTGTGTAAGTGTGTGTGTTACAATATTGATATTTATATCTACTTTTGAAAAAGAAGAGCAAACTTTAGCGTTAATTATTTGAGTATCTTTCGGCTTCACTCCTGGATAAGTGCCCTCTATCGCAGCCTCAGACGCAGACAGTGAGAGTTAAATCTTCCTATTTGCTTGACGCACGTCAATTTTCTTGTTTCGTAAATGAAGAACCGCATGTAAGATCTTATGCTGTTAGGGCGCGGGTCTTTTTATTGAATAATAATGCTGCAGATGTATGTCTACTTTAAATGCATAAGTTTTAAAATTGTCCATATCGACAATGAACTTACAATAAACGAGGAACAAAAGTAAAATCGGCGATGTATTCTCGAGTCAGGGCTCAAATAACAAAGGACAAAGTCTCATTTCACAAGGTTAAGTATTCACTGTGGGGCTCCTAACCAGAACTCATACCTCCTCGTCCAACTTATGGCCCAGATCGAAGATCATGTTAGGCATGCATATGGCAACATGGGAACATAATTAACGTTTTCACTACGGTTTTACCGACATTCAGCAGCTTAACAGCTGCACCAAGCCTTCCTTTACTACAACGTCCATACCTGCGATGGCGAACAAGCGCACCGGGAGGGTGCTAACTACTACCACTATTAGTTTAAGACTACAATGACTCTAATGATGAGCGATCTGTCGGGGCATGTCATGACATTCAGGGATGAAAACGCTATCACACAGCTCGGCCTGTTGATGACGCTAAGCCATTTGTCATTTTTGTACAAGACATTAAAATTGAACAGCAGGCCAAGATATACCGAACACGAGCCCTCTTGAAACGCTATATAAGCTATCAGTCGCTCGACACGACACAATCGCGCGGCGATAATGCGTTGGTTTAGCAAACTCTAGATGAAACTTGGAGTATTAGGTAGGATCGTTTGGATACTTTTGATGAGTTAGTTGTGGGTCTCCAATCAATGGAAGTGCCACTTGACGTATTGTGCCAGCTGGTGGTACCTCTCATTAGACTGATGTCCCACCACAATTTGAAACTATCTATAAATGCGATTGACATCAAATGACAATGATGGAGAAAGTGCTGATGTAATCAGATAAGCTGCAATTAACAAAATGTTCCGCGACAATAGGAATGGTGACAAATTCAAAGGTGAAAAGAAAAAGGTTGGAAGGATGGTGTTCCGCAAAATAACGGCGTATTAGAAGGCAACGTTTTAATTGTGGCCACGTTGCTAACATAAGTGGCTTATTGACGATGTCGCCACATCCCAAATACACCCGCAGAAGTCGAATACAAGGACCGTGGGACGAGTATCAAAATAACAACAGCAGACGCTAAAACCCTTTGTCAAAATAAGTGGCATGGTAAAACTGACCGGTTTTGGCGGAAAGAGGAATATATATATATCAGTAAATCAACCAAAGCTTGTTGCCAGTCGACCAGCTTCCGGAACACGGTGTGAGTGTGAAATTTTCGCGCCCGTCGTATGACAGCTGAACAGAGAACAACCGATTGCATCGGTTACAAGATTTAGAAAAACGTACATGATCGACTATAAGAAGAAAATATTGAGTAATGTAATCCAGGGTTGGCACACAGTGGGAGCTTTGAAACCCTCGCCAGAGTACACCCACAAAAATACGCTTTATTCGATACAGCGCTCAACTAAAAGGCATCTCGATCATCAAGCAAAAACATTATGAGCCGGGTGTTTGAAGGGTAAGCAGACAATCACGACACTTCTTTCGGATTGAATGAAAAATAAACGTGTGTGCTGGATGGAGTGCGTGTGCACGAACAAAGCGACCCAATACGAACTCCCTCAATGGAAGGTGCAAAATGTATTCAGACCATGTGCGGGTGGATACCAAGATACGTTGCAATCTCCCTGATCAAGAGTAAGCGTTATGTAACCGGCAACTTTTATGATCAATGAGTGATCGTCTGGCATGTTTGGTATCTGACAATGGGGCATGATTCGCTAACGAGGTGATGGCAGACATATATCACTGTAGCAACATCGTCCACAAGGGTTCGTATCATAAAACCTCTGAGAGAATGAAGTTGCGAAGCGCATGAGCAACGATATCAAAGAGAAGGCCCCCGGTATGCTTTACTACATTAACGTTACTGCTATCTGGTGGGCAGAAGCGGTGAACTTTGCAGCTTATTGATAAATCTTTAAAAGAATACAGCGCGTTGCGAAATCCCCTGTATAAATTGGCTTTCGAGAAGGAGCGTCCGATAAATCACCAAAGCGTGCTTGGTTGCAGTATTACGCTCATGAGACGATGCGAAGAGAAAAAAGCACGAACTAAAGAGCTTTAAGTGTATATTTCTCGGCTTTCCATAACAAGTCAAAGGTTATTTGGCGCTGAACTCGGATTACCCGAAGGTAAAAGTGACTCGCTCTGTGAGGTTGAGTGAGTGTGGAGTGGGCGATATTTACGACACGCAAGCGCTAAGGTCAGCAGTGGCCATTGATTACGCAGAAAATTGATGATGACCTGAGATCGTTTGCCGTTGTCGCCGCTCTAAGATAGTGCGTCTAGGTTGATCAGATATTGTAGGGTTCACTGTGCGATTATTTGAAGCCAGTGCTCGCGTTGTCTCGTCTTATTTATGGTCTTGTACGTCATTAAGTAATTTGTGTAGGGTACACTAAATTAATCTTATCAATGGTCTCCTGACCAGATGATACGTCATAACGGCAAAGTAATTTGGGATAGATTTGGTATAGTTAAACGAAGACATAGGAACATAACACAGTCTTTCACTTCGGGTTTACTGATAGATCAACTTTTTCTTTGTGCAACGTGTCGCTCCTCTTGAACTTTTAATGTTGCAATTGTGGGTGATTACATACTATAATCGACATTTATATGGTCTACTTGCGTATCGCCTAATAACAAATACAAAGTCTCGTTAAGCGTTATCCATCTGCATACTTTGTCCTCGCTTCTGGCATAGATGCTTTCATCGTCAATCGCATTGCTCGAGAATTTCCCGATAGTGGGTAACCAGCTGATTCCTTTATGCGATCAGTGAGCATAATTAATCTCAATGAGTCTGAGAGATTGAAAGGAGCCACACCGAATCATCAGGTTTCCTGATCTTTCATAGATTGAACGCACATAAATACTTGATTGATAGTTGCGTGTATTTGCTCAATTCATTTATCGCGTTGTCATCCTGAAACAGAGCGTGGTATATGTCGATTACTTTTCGGTACATATTTCTTCTGATCCTACGTACCTATTTCATCAAATCGTCGAATGAAGCTTTTACATATAGTTTCGACGTATGTTCACGAATCTGGACAGAATTAAGAGCTTCAAACATACGACAGCCCCAGCCAAAGATTAGCAGACCATTGTATCGAATAGCTTCTATCATTGTCCACTAATTTGTTCATGCTGTTAAGAAATTGCTTCACTTGCGCTTCGATATTATATCAAAAAAGAATCCATTGACAATAGCTATGCGACGATGATATGGGTTGAGGTGATCTTGGATCGTGAATACGTCAGCACAATTCTGCTCTCAGTGCATGAGATTCCAAAGTTTCTATCTCGTACATATTTGTAAAGCAGAAATGAAGTCACAAATTACAAAAGGTTAATAACATCTGCATTGTCTAATCATATGATGTGTCAAAGAACATAATGAGTTGTGTTTGTCATTTGGTTATTTGCAGTCACAATGCGCCGCCGCGTAAAGTTCGTCTTGGTACTTACTGCTATTGCTCTGGCTACAAATGTGATTGCTTCGGTTACGCCAGTACCATCTCCTCAGCCTTCTGAGAGGGATGCAACTGATTTTGAGGCGAAGAAGTCGGTGAAACCAGAGAACATGAATGATGGTGCTGTCCAGGATTTTAATGTCGAAGAGAGAACTGCTTTACACGGCATCGAAGACGTCGAAATGCTTGGTCATAGTACTGAATCGTTTGGCAACAAGATGTTACATGTATTGAAACGAATTATTGGGTACCAACCTCCAGCGAGTGCATCAAAGAGTTTGTTGGAGATCAAGAGCGCCAAAGACGCACGCTCATCTAAAAAGGAGACGACCCAGAACCGAATGATACTAATCAGCCATTTAGAGTTACCGAGATAATCGCCTCCAAAGATGGCCGATCGATTTTCGTA